GGCTAACTTTTCAGAACCGGCTTAGAAAGGAACGCGTGCTGCTCGTTTTGACAGCTCCCTATTTATACAGGAGCTGTCAAACGATCAGCCAATCAGATGTCGAGCGCTTCCCGCTTAAACTCTTTATTTTAGGGCATGCTCAGAATGTGACACTCGTCTCCCCTAAGCTCGCGCAAGCGTAGTCTTTTAAGTATGCTGGACGCCGCCTGATTCGGCCTGACGCTTGAGGCCCATCTGCACCACCTGGAGGCTCTGGATGCTCGACCGAGGACTCTGCTTCGGATGATGGTGATCGCCCGGGCCGTTGAAGAGCGAAGGATGGTGATGGCCCACCAAGTAAGTCGCCGCTTCGGTTTGGGGCACTGGCTGCTTGCTCTCTTGCGGCCTCCTTGTTTCTGGGCCCCGCGTCGCTTGTCGGAGTTGGTTGGTCGGTCGATGGCTGCTGGTCGGTTGGTGGTTGGCGTCTGCTCCGCAACTGGTCGCAGTGGCGTTTCCAAGTTCTACCGTCGTGGAGCCTGACCCTGTAGGAGCAGGGCCCGGTCTGGTAAGTCACAATGCCCGGTAGCCACAAGGGATGCCCTCCGTAATTCCGGGCATACACTGCCTCCCCCTGGACGAAGGAGCGGGTCCCGCCGTGGGAATCCAAGGGAGTTGGGGTGGAGTAGGCAGGGTGCATGCGGTCAAGGGTTGTCCGCAACCGCCGTCCCATGAGGAGCTCGGCTGGGCTCGTATTGGAATCTGGCGAGGGAGTGGAGTGGTGGGCCAGCAAGAAGGCATCTATGCGTTCTTGCCAGGGTAGGTGATCCATTTTGGCGAGGGCTTCTTTGATGGACCGCACGGTGCGCTCTGCCAAGCCATTGCTAGAGGGGTGGAAAGGGGAGGTGAGGGCGTGTCGGATGCCCTGGGAAGCCAGAAACGTTTCAAACTTGGTAGATGTCAGTTGCGGTCCATTATCGGACACCAACACGTCGGGGAGGCCATGAGTGGCAAATAGGTGGTGCAGGGTCGTGATGAGCGCGTCTGCAGTGGTGGAAGACATGTGGACAACTTCAACCCATTTCGAGAAGGCGTCCACGGCAATGAAGAGCATGTGGCCCTGAATGGGGCCCGCGAAGTCAACGTGCAACCGGGACCAGGGTGTGGATGGCGGTTCCCACGTACGGGGCTCGGCTTTGGGAGGCAAGGCCTGGGTGCCCTGGCATTGAGGGCACCCTGCGACATGGTCAGCTATGTCTTGGTCAAGCTTAGGCTACCAGACGTAGCTCCTGCCCAGGGCTTTCATCCAGACAATGCCAGGGTGTGCGTGGTGCAGCTGCTGCAGGACGGTAGTCCTCAGTGAGGCAGGCACCACTACTCAGTGGCCCCAAAGCAAACAGCTGCGCTGGACGGACAGCTCCGCCAGGCGGGATTTGAAGGGAAGGAAAACGGGATCTACGGGGTCTTTTGGCCACCCCCGCCTAACCCAGTCTAGTACCCGAGATATTACCTGATCCCTTGCGGACAACCGGGCGATGTCGGCGGCAGAAATTGGAAGATTGAGGTCGTCAATTAGGAAAACTGGGGCCACAGCAGCAGGGTCTTCAGTAGCCTCCGGCAGGGGGCAACAACTGAGTGCGTCGGCGTGAGCAATCTGCTTCCCCGGGCGGTGATGTAGCTGGTAGTCATAGGAAGCAAGGAAAACAAACCAGCGTGTCATCTGCGGAGATAGGACCTGCGGGGCAGGGCGATCGCCGGCCAGCAACCCGAGTAGCGGCTTGTGATCGGTGACAATTTGGAATGGGCAGCCGTACAAATAGTGGTGGAAACGCCGCACCCCGGCTACAATAGCAAGAGCCTCCTAGTCAATTTGAGCGTAGTTGCGTTCTGAGGCAGAGAGTGTGTGGGAAAAATATGCGGCAGGCACCTCTGCCCCACTGGGTAGCTGGTGGCAAAGAACGGTGCCCACCCCGTAGGGGGAAGCGTCGCAAGCGAGCACAATAGGCAAGTGTTCGCTGTATTGTACGAGGACGTCGTTGGAGATAAGTAGGTGCTTGACAGCTAGGAATGCGGAGGCCTCCCGGCGGCCCCAAACCCAGGCTGCGCCTGAGTCAAGGAGGCGGTGAAGTGGCTCAGCTACAGATGCCTTATGTGGCAGGAACACAGCATAGAAATTGAGTAGGCCTAAAAAGGCCTGTAGTTCAGCTCTGTTAGTAGGTGCAGGGGCCTCCACGATGGCTTTGGTCTTGGCAGCTGTGGGGTGGATGCCGCTGCCATCAATGAGGAACCCAAGGAACTCTATCTGGGGCACCGCAATCTGGCACTTGTCTCTTTTGACTTTGAGTCCCACCTGTCGAAATTTCCGGAGGACCACCCGCAGGCGGGCCATGAGTTCCTCTAGGGAGGTTGCGGAGACAAGGACGTCGTCAAAATAGGGGACGACGCCTCGGAGTCCTTGGAGCAGGCGCTCCATCAAACTTTGGAAAAGTCCTGGGGCAATGCTAACCCCAAACTGCAATCTGCGGCAGCGGAACGCGCCCCGGTGCATGATGATTGTCTGCGCCTCAGCTGCCTCATCGTCCACCACCAGCTGGTGATACGCCTGGGCGAGTTCGAGCTTCGCGAAAACAGTCCCCTCGCCCAAGGTGTGTAATAGGTGCTGAACCACTGGCACCGGGTATGCGTTGGATGGCAGAGCGCGGTTGATAGAGCAGCGGTAGTCTGCACAAATCCTCACGCTGCCGTCAGGTTTGATTGGTAACACGATGGGTGTTTCCCATCATGCATGGTCCACCGGCTCCAGGACGCCTTGAGCCACAAGCTTGTCCAGCTCGGCGTCCACTTTTGGTTTGAGTGCGATGGGTACTCGGCGTGGCTTCATCCGCACCGGCTGCACTGACGGGTCGAGGTTGAAAGACACAGGTGTGCCTGTGTATTTGCCTAAGGCGCCATCAAACACAGTAGGGAATTCGTTGACCAGGCAATCAAGGGCTGACGCGCTTAGGTGGTGGATACCGCTGATCTGCAGGCCCAGGGACTGGAACCAGTCAAGGCCGAGGAGGCTGGACAGCCGCCCCTCAACTATGATGAGGGGTAACTGGCCGTCAAACCCCTTGAATTGCACTCTGACTTTGCGGGTGCAAATTACTGGAATCAGGTTGCCCTGATAGTCCCGTAATGTAAGGTTACAGTCTTGTAATCGGCGCTTTGACAGCTGAGGCAAAAGGCGCTTAATTGTGCTCCAAGACACTATGGAGGTTGCAGAACCGGTGTCTAGCTCCATCTCGCAGGGCTTCCCTTCCACATTAACAGTTAGCTGGATTTTTTTCTGGAGGTGATGGCATGAGAGTCCCTGGTTCGAGTTGCGGAGGATGGCATGGCAGTCCATCCTAGCCTTCTTGGAGCCTTCCGTCTGGTTCCGAGGTTGCCGGGACCGATCGGCTTGGAATTCAAAGGAGGACATGGGCTGCGTGGCTCTGCACACCCGAGCGATGTGGCCCTTCCTGCCACACCGCTGGCAGAGGGCTTGCCTAAATCTGCACTCAGCTCTCTCGTGGTTGCCTCCGCAACCACTACATGCAGATTTAGGGTCGCCCCTCCGCTGAGGAAAGCTCTTTTTGTTCGCCTCATGAAGGCGGTTAATGTCCCCTTCCGGGTTCTCAAGATCGGAATCAGCGCTTTCAGTCTCAGGTAGACCGGTAGCTGTGTTAAACGTATTGGCAGGCTGCGCTGCTGTGGTAGACCGGCTCTTCGCGATGGTAGCTAGGGATGCTGCAGCCATTTCGGAAGCCCGAACCTCGTCGAAGGCGGTTTGGAAGGAGAGATCTGCTTTGGTTAGCAATCGCTTCTGCAGTTTGAGGTCCCTGAGACCACACACGAGGCAGTCGAGGAGAGCTTCATCGACATCTCGGAACTCACAGTGGAGGGCGGCCGATCGTAGGGCAGCAATGTAGGCGCTGACTGACTCTCCCTCGGCTTGGCTGCGTTGATGGAAAGCGTGCCGGCGGGCTATTTTGGACGGAGACGGGGCATAATGGCTCGTCAGCTTTGCCATCAGGACGGCCCAAGGTACGGCCTTGATGGGTTCAGGGGCTGTGAGAGCCCTGGCGGTGTGGAAGACGTCTGTGCCGCAGACGGACAAGAAAAACGCGCATTTTCGTTCGTCTGTCAGCTCGGTAAGGTCGTGTGCGACCAAAAAACATTCAAAGCAAGCCGTGTAGGACTCCCATGTCTCAGAGCCATAGTTGAATGGTGCAAAGTTTAACGTGGCCATTCCTGTCAGGGACACAGCGACGTCTCGTCGCGGCAGAATAAAAGCGCGGTTCTAGTGACTCAGCGAGTGACTTCAGCTGCTCGCACCTCAGTTTGGCGATCCCATCCTCGTCGCCAGTGGTGTGTACCAGGACCTGTGGGTAGCCAGAAGAACTGAGGCGGAGACGGGAATAAAGGCTAACAATTTTATTCCCTGACAAGTACAGGCTAACTTTTCAGAACCGGCTTTAGACAGGAACGCGCGCTGCTCGTTTGGACAGCTCCCTATTTATACAGGAGCTGTCAAATGATCAGCCAATCAGATGACGAGCGCTTCCCACTTAAACTCTTTATTTTAGCGCATGCTCAGAACATGACACAGCTCACCAGAAGTTCCATTATAGCTCATTGGAAATCTATTTTAAAATATGATTGTGTGATAATATAATGTTTGAATAATCTGTTTCATCTAGTTACTTTAAGTTTCATTAGTAAATCTTGAAGATTTTTTGTTCCACCTGATATACTGCATATAAAGGCTACAAAGAAAGGCAAATTGAAAAACATCAGAATTCATTGAAAGAAGAATCAAGGAAGAAAATAAGCATTTCCAAAAAAATGTAGGGTCATGAAATGCAAAGCCATATAATGCTTATGAAATGCACTGATTTTCCAGTATAAAATGCTCTCAAATGTAATAAGTGAAGCTGTATTCTCTGGGGCTTTTCCAGATGTAAGATAGTCTTTCTAGACATATTTTTTTAGTTCTAACTCTATTACATTAAAATAGATCTTGATGTCTGTGTTTCAATTATCAGTTATATTGCTGCTTCTAAATTTTTAATAGTTAGTGCCTGTCTTATTTTAGTTTTATGATGCTTTCTTGCAATTTTTAGTATCATTTATAATATTTTTAGTGTATCAATTTTAAACTCATTGCTACCTTTTACTTACCTTTGAAATTAAGAAAAAAAGGATAGTTTAGTTCCATTTAATATTTTTCTAGTCTAAAAAAGTTTAATTGCATTCAGGTAAATGGATTTAACTATTATATCAAATTTAACTGTTATAATTATCTAACTATTATATAAATAAATAAAACATATACAGTATATTGTCAGTGGATATTAAACATTAACAACTTGCTTTTCCAAGTACCCTCAAATATTGATCAAAGTATAAATTCTCAAATGAAATACTTCACTAGTTTCTAATACTACATTTTACAATATATACAGTTTGAGAGGCATTGTTTATTTGCTATTCACTATCCAATGATAATTGTGTATCAACTTGAAGGTAATTAATCCAACTGTTACGCTAGAATACAATACAGGGCAGCAATTTTGTATTAGAATATAACAATTGCAACCATAATTTATTCTAATGACATGATTAGAGTAATCTTGTCATTTTTTTTTAAAGACAGCATAAATTTTGGACTCAATTGTGGTCATATGTCAAGAACTACTTATAATAAAAATAGCAAATTTTAAGTATGTTATTAAAAATTATTTTTAATTACCTACAGTAAGATTATAGATATACTTTACTTCCCTTGGTTGAAACACCTCATTCAAATTGTATCAGGTTATGGAGTTAGGACTGCTTTTTAAACCACATCAAGATAATTCAAATTACATATATGGTGGACTTACAAAAAGGTTAAAGCATTTTGGATAAAAATATGGTGGATTATGCAAAATGTTCTTTAAAAAAGGAT